TTTGCTCATTTTAAATACTATGCCTTTCTGAGCGTTATGGTCTGTTCTCTTTTTTGTACTCCATTCCATGTTTGTCTTTTTATTGTAAATCAAAACACTAAGTGATAGTTGAAACAAGCTCGCTGACACGGTGCGGGTATGGTCCTTTACGTGGCTTGAAAACTGTTATCTGTGTCTGCTCTGCTCTGTTTTTACCACGTATACCCCCACAGCTCATTAGACATTTTGTAAAACCGCTTTAAAGCATATAAAAGCTCTGCAGAGCCAACGACACGAAGAGACAGTGCATGAACCTCCAGACTCTCCTCCAGTCAAAGCTTCTCTCTTTTTGGAAAGTGGTGACAGGAGGAACTCGTTCATCTGTTACTCATGTTACTTCTGCTTTATTGTTACTTTTCTGTGAATCAGATTTAATTTTGATGTTTTTTATTTTATCACTACATTGATTCCAAAATGTTACTGGGTGAACCCAATGGAAACACTATTTGTTGTATTTGTTGTTTTGGAGGTGTTTACCACCCACAGGACTCTACTGAACTTTATTATTAGTGTGCAAAGAAAAACAACACTGACGGTAAAATAAACATTTTATTTCTCTCCTTGTGGTGATAAGTGATGGTGTTATTCGTGTGAAGTAGAAATCCGCCAAATTATATGACAGATATTATTATGGTGTTTGAAAGATGAGCATATTTAACAGCATGATGGGAAGAGAAGGCTCGAGCGTCAGGATACCTCAGATACCTCTTCTGATTCTGACAAAGTAAAAATATAATAAAATATAATGTGGGAAATTGGTGAAAATGTCTATCTAGCAATGTCAATGACAGACATAAGATCAGTTCAACGCTAAAATGTATTAGGCTCTTTCTTGGTCTATGTCATAATTATAATAAGAATTAAGAAAAATGCTATTCTGTCTCTCACTACTGGCCAAACATTAATCAAGTTATAAGCTGAGCTTCTCTTTATTAAGTCTTTACCATCATGGTGGAGTACCATCAACTCACATTGGTGTTGGATGAATATTCACAGGGTCTTCAGTATCATCTTCTGGAATATCTGCACTGATTTTAAGGCCAATCAAACCGACAGCTGTCGAGATATTTCAGTCTGGACCGATCAGACGGTGAAACTATAGCCACGCAGCCAGAGGGGCTAAATAAATCCTACCTCACCTTACCTCACTTTACCTTACCTTGGCTACCTCGTACCAGAAGTGTGTCTGTATTGTGAGGTGACAAGAGTGAAGGGGACACATGCCTCACAGGAACTGCTCTACCTGTCAGTCCCACTAAAAATACAATGCAAACACATGCCTGTCTGTAATAACTTCAGTGCCGTGATAGTTTTACTGCTGAGGCCCGAACTCCCGTCTGGAGGGAGGTTGTTAAGCTTGAGCTTTTCCACCCCAGCTGCCTGCGTCTCGGCCGGTCACGTGACCCTGGCCCGGCTTTCAGAGAGGCCCTGGGCGTCAGCGCGGGGGTGAAAAGGTCGTTGACACCGTCGCTCTCACATGTGCCCTCACTCACAGTGCTGAGCGCTGAGAGGTGGCAAAAAAAAGGATCATGGAAATGATGAGGTATCAAAAATAAAAAGGATTGATTTGTGAGTTGCGGTAACTCACACAATGGTGGATGTAAACCCATTGTGTCGGGGGGTTTTCATGTCCTGTTCAAAGAAAACTGAACCATTGTGTATCGTCTCATTTGAGCTTGATTTAGTGGAAAATTACTCCCCTTGTACGACTGCAAGACACAAACAGCACTGCCGCATTCAGGACAAGGACAAATACCTTTGCGTAATTGTGTATTCCCATGGCGGCGTGTTTGACACTGTTCCTGTGCCCTCTCTGGTGGAGAATAGGGGGGTACGCCTCCCCAGGCACTGGGGCTCCACATCACCCTGTGGAAGACACAGGGAAGACTAACCTTGTATAATTAATGATGTAAAACTGAGGAGGATCTGAAGAAACATCCTGTTTTAATTGCTGTTATCTTGTTGGGTGTTTTACTCCGTCCCTGAAGGGATTAATTAGGAAGCAGAAGAATCATACTTGGTGCTAAATGCAATCCCTTAGTAAAACACACACTGCAATTTAAGGTGCATTCAGTGTTCGACTTGGCTCCATGTGCACGTCATCACACAGCTTTTACTGGAGCGCTTTGCTGAAGGAAGGAGGTGATGAGTTGCTCTGAGTGATTTCCAGCGTCAGTACTTAAATATACTTGGTACACCCTCCCAGTAACAGAGCTGCAAATTGGCGTGTGCTACTTCAGTGATTGTAATAATATTGTTTCATTAGTTGACACTTGAGAAGATTCCTCATGACCAGCACTTCAGAAACACCTACAGACGGAATCTAGACGACTGGGGCTTACGTGTAGAATACTAGAGGAGACCTGCTCCAGTAGATGCGTTGAATAAAGATCTGACATAAGAAGTAAAAAAACTAATTTAGTAGTAAAATTTTGCATTGAGGATCTTAGTTAAGTGAACCATGAATGGCTCTGGATCAAGAGGAAAGACCTCAAGATGTTGGGGGACACACACCTGCGGTTGGCTTGTCTTAGACGACGGTGTCTTGTGATTAAAAGGCAGAAACACCCAATTACACTAAGTTATACATCTGATGGTCTGTCCCTCACATCATGGTCGGTAACATCTGCTGGTGTGGAAGAACTTCCAATGTACGAGATACTCACCATCATGTCCTATGTTCTAAAACACAAAGTTTATTCCAGGCAGAAAAAGCTCTACAATGAACAGCTGTCATCCTAAGATCTGTTCAGAGACATGACACCACCAAATGTCCTGTGAGGGCTCCGTGTGTCTTTATCTATCATACAAAAACACTAGTTTCCACAATATGAAATGTTTAAATACCACAGACTAGTTTTTATCAGAATGATCAAAATAGCATCTCCAGGTTCCTGAAAACAAGGAGAAGCTGTTTACATGAGCAACACATCTCTGGAATAACAGTGCAGATATAAAACCGCTCACCGGTATCCAACACAGTCCACCTTTATAGCTGTGGTGATGTCAGATTTTCCATTATTGTGTCTACCTCCTGAGGGCCAGATGCTGAGACCACTTCTTTTAAATAAACCAAATACTTTAAAGTCATTTACTGAGAGTACAACACATTCCTTTTAATGTGGCTGCAAGATGAGACCTGACGCAACCTGCTCACACACATCACAGGGCAGGAAATGTGCTCAGCGTCCGTCCTCCTACGCCGACAGCTCAGACCTCAGACCAACACTTGAGCAAGCATCATTACCCCAAATTACAGACACGTCCACTGAACGACTCATGACATATTTCAATATCTGCCATTGATTTCAGACGGGATGTATGAAAACGACTGTGAGGTGCCCGCCCCCGGGGCCCACTTAGTCCTGAGTCCAATAACAGTTAGATAGAGTCTCGGCTAATGGACAGGCTTATCAATGGGTTAGTCTGTTGCTCTCTGTGTGTGAACCCCCCCACCACCACCACCGTCACTGTAAACGCTACATCATCCTTCTGCTTTCGCCTTTATACCCCTAATGAACAATCAGCGCTGGTCACATTATTGCACATATGAGATTAATCTACTCCCCGCAGTGCACAGTGATGTTATTACAGGAAAATCAATGTCCCCCTTGTTGTTCTCTGGGGCTGGACGGGGTGTACGCACATCTGCTCTCATAATACAACTGCTGACCTTGCTGTCAGAGAGTGAGCCAGAGAGAGGCTGCGGCGAAAAAACGGCCGACCGGTGTTGTTTATCAAAAGCTTTATCAAGCCTCCGTGCCTCTCACAGACGCCTGTGGCTCAGTCAGACAGCCAGGGTGTGTACTCCAGCTGGAAGAAGAAAACCCACAGCATGTGTAGACAGGGCATGATAACCTCCGCAGATTAAGAGTTGACAGGAATTGGAAATGATAGTGTCCAATCAGACACGAGAGGAAAGGTTGCAGAGGGAATTCAACCTCCTTCAAATAAAAACCCATGAGCTATAATTCACAAAAATCTAATTCTTGACCTTCTCACTCTCAGATTTTATTAACTCCCATCATCACTAAAAGCACAATAGACCGTGTGAGTGACCCCCTGACCTCTCGCAGGGGACAGGTCCATAAAAACAGAGGGGGGAGGGGAACGGTGGGAGAGGAGAAACCAACCTTTTGCCCCAGTCAGTTTGTCCTCTCCTATTCTCTGTCCCTCTTCTTTTTTTTTTTTTTTGCAAACTTGATGGAAAGCCAACCACACAGATAAAGCAACTGTCATGTCTGTGCATGCCAGCAAATGCCAGCCAAGGCCACATCAATAAAACTGACCCACAACATGATTCAAGCCAAAATTAATCAGAGGCTGGATATAGATTAGGGCTATAAAAGAAAGTGAATGTGGAAATGACATGTCTGGGAAAACTTGTGAATTAGGGGATTAAATTATTACTTATTTAATAAGATGAAACGTTACCTTGTTGTTGCTGTTTTTATGTCTTTGTAAACTGAGAATTTTTGGGTTACAGGCTGTTGGTAATGAAATATTTAAA